ACGATAAAATTGTTAATTCAGAGATTCGAGTCTCTCACAGAGAGACTGAATGAATAAAACTGAAAAATTGAGACACTCGATTCTCTCGTAGAAAGACTGGGATCTCTGAAATATGTTGAAATTAAAAATTTTTAACCATGTCTATCGAGACACCACTTATTGAGAGATTCAAGTCTCTCGTTTAGACTCGATACGAAATGAGAATCTCTCTATGAGCGACTCGAGTGTCTCGTTCAGAGACGCTAAACAGTTCTTTTGACAGTCTCTCGACAGTCTGTCTCAGCGACACCAGAGAGACTCGATGAGATACGGAGACTCGAGTCTCGCTTTCAGAGACTCTGAAAGACAACATTTTTATCTCGGGATGTTTCTACAAATGGGGAAACATTGAAATCCATTCAACAATTGGAATGCCTTTAGGGTATAATCCAGATTATATACGCGTGAATTCATAATATAAAGCTTGCTCAATGTGTGTCTGCTTTTGTTTATTAAAATTGTAAGTATGTTGTATTGGTGTCAGAGAGAAGCTCAGGTGTTATAACTTTTGATTAGTGTTCGAACAGTTTTAATAACTACAATATGATTCATAGCTTGACAATTGCAATATATTGATTGGATGAAGTTCTAATGTACATGTGTGCAATATACCCTTTAACGACTAATTTTGGACAGAATAGGGGATAAAAAGTAGAAAATTGGTTTCTCATTCGCTATAGTAATGTCAAACTTTTTCGGGAGTATAATTTATGTCTGTATTCGATTGCGCAGTATGGAAATCCTACAGGAAATACAAAACTGACATTGTGAAATATTTATAGTGAATATTTCCAATCCAGAAAAAAGTTTGTCTCAAATATTTAGAAAATGGAGCAAGGAAATAATTTTTTTAGTCAATTTTAAAATATAAAAGGTACACACTGACAGAAATTGTCCTTTGTAATTTGTCTTTGTTTGAACAATATTTCACTCGTTTCGTTTGTTTCACAATTTATATATTTTCTGACGTATTCATGTTCTTTTGAAATTGCAAGCTTAACTTATCTTTTATGAATCAAGGGAAAAATAAAAATAAATTCTATGGCCTATTCCCAGAGGATAAACTGCACATTCCGCCGATATTACCTTTATTAGAATGACGGATCCTGAAATGAATAAATAAGAAATGGAAATTATGATATACGTATGTGCGAAACGTTGAATTTTAATTGTATTTAGCCTTCTTCGAATATTTTGTATTCAATTCTATTTTAATCAAAACAATACTGGGGTTAAAATCATTATATTAGAGTTTCAACTAAATCAAACTAGCTTTGATAAAGTCCAAGCGAAACGTTGGCTGTGGTTTTTTAAATAAAATAATTCTAACTCCGGTATTGTTTTGATTAAAAAAGAGTTCAATTTTAATTTTTTCATAGCGTAGCTTAATAACACCTCTGGAAAATGAATCATTGGATAATATTCACAATTGCTTTACTATCATAATAATAACACTGCAGATTAGTGAGTATTAACTGAACTAATTAGTTAATTGAAAATAACGCAATATGCACATATCATATTGCAATGACGTTCAACTAATTTAAACAAGTTTAATAAATAGAAGGGCGAATTGTTTAAGTAATTGATTACATCAGTATAATATAAATGACCAATCAGTTAGGATTAGTATGCTTAGATTTGCAGATGATATGAAAATAAATAAAATATTGGTATACGGGGGATTAAAAGGTAGGAGACGAAAAATTAGAAGAAGTGGCTGATTGTAGGTATCTAGGATGTCAGATAAGTTAGGACGGAAGGAGTAGTAGGGGTAGAAAACAAAGGATAGCGCAGGGTGGTGTCGCCTTTAATAAAAAGAAGTCACTTCTATGCTCGCGAACGATTAATTTAGATATTCGAAAAAGGTTGTTAAAGGTGTATGTTTGGAGCACGGCGTTGTACAGGTGCGAAACATGGACAGTGGGCACGGTGGAAAAGAAAAGGTTAGAAGATTTCGAAATGTGGTGCTACAGGCGAATGATGAGGATAACGTGGGTAGAAAGGTTAGAAATGAATTAGAAAGAATAGGAAAATAGAGGAGTGTATGAAACTAAATAAGAAATAGGCGAGTCGGGTTAGTAGGACACCTTCTCAGGCATGAAAGTCTAGCCAGAGACATATTAGAGGGAGAAACAGGAGGTAGGAGGGGTAAAGGTAGACCTAGATTAGATTACTGTTCGCAAAGAAGCTTTCGAACAAGCGAATAATGAGGATACCGTGGATGGAGAAAGTTAGAAATGAAGAGGTATTGAAAAAATAGGAGAACAGAGGACTACGGAAATCAAGAAGAAATAGGCGAGATAGGTTGGTGAACACCTTCTCAGGCGTGAAGGTCTAGTCAGAGACATATTAGTGGTAGAAACANTGTACATATCATATTGCAATGACGTTCAACTAATTTAAACAAGTTTAATAAATAGAAGGGCGAATTGTTTAAGTAATTGATTACATCAGTATAATATAAATGACCAATCAGTTAGGATTAGTATGCTTAGATTTGTAGATGATATGAAAATAAATAAAATATTGGTATGCGAGGGAATAAAAGGTAGGGAAAGAGCGAATATAAAGATAGGAGACAAAAAATTAGAATAAGTGGCTGATTGTAGGTATCTAAGATGTCAGATAAGTTAGGACGGAAGGAGTAGTAGGGATAGAAAACAAAGGAGAGCGCAGGGTCGTGTCGCCTTTAATAAAAAGAAATCACTTCTATGCTCACGAACGATTAATTTAAATATTCGAAAAGGGTTGTTAAAGGTGTATGTTTGGAGCACGGCGTTGTACAGGTGCGAAGCATGAACAGTGGGCACGGTGGAAAAGAAAAGGTTAGAAGATTTCGAAATGTGGTGCTACAGGCGAATGATGAGGATAACGTGGGTAGAAAGGTTAGAAATAGAGGAGTGTATGAAACTAAATAAGAAATAGGCGAGATGGGTTAGTAGGACACCTTCTCAGGCATGAAAGTCTAGCCAGAGACATATTAGAGGGAGAAACAGGAGGTAGGAGGGGTAAAGGTAGACCTAGATTAGATTACTGTTCGCAAAGAAGCTTTCGAACAAGCGAATGATGAGGATACCGTGGATGGAGAAAGTTAGAAATGAAGAGGTATTGAAAAAATAGGAGAACAGAGGACTACGGAAATCAAGAAGAAATAGGCGAGATAGGTTGGTGAACACCTTCTCAGGCGTGAAGGTCTAGTCAGAGACATATTAGTGGTAGAAACGGGAGTTAGGAGGGGTAGACGTAGACCTAGATTAGATTACTGTTCGCAAATATTTAAGGATGTGGATTATTCTAGTTTTAGGGAAATGCGAAGATTAGCTCAGGATAGGAAGGAGTGGTCTTAGGACTAACGACTTTATGATGATTATGAATCAATTAAAGATGCTGATTTGACTGTGAAGTATTTCCAAAATTACGATCTCTGCCTTTACAGTTAAATATCACTAAATTATTCAGAATAATTACCGACAGTATCTAAGTGAATATGAATATCAGTCTAGTTTTTACTAAGAGTAAATAGATATAGAGATATTTATCATTGATGAACCTACCCAAAATTTCGAAAATCCGAAATCGTTAAGTTTAATCTAGAACGTTGGTCGGCAAGTAATTTTAGATGGAGGCCGGATGCTTTTGAAAATTTTCTGTTTCATAATCAGAACGGGGCAAAATTATTCCTCGCGTCCATGTGTCGTAAATATCTCTGTATATATATATACGTATATACATATACAAGCCTTGTGGCTTTCTTCATTGATTACATTCATTCCGTCATCGCAGAAACCATTTCAGTTTTAATTATTTCCATTCGAACCCTTCTCGTCTGGAACAAGAAGATTATGTTTCTTGTTTATGAGGTGCTAAACAATATGCAATTAGAAAAAAACCGATTTTTTATTCTTGTTTAAATTAATACAGAAAATGATTAACTAAACAGAATTTGATAGATTGTTAATTACTGTTATTTGAATTGTTTCGTTTTTATTAATTAATTAATTTTATTTTTTTCGTCGATTTCGAGGTGTACGAGCGCACTTATTAGTATTTGCTTGGATAGATACCTAATGGAAAACAAAAAAAAAATGAAATGTAAAAAGGTAACATGTCGGTTAGATTTGTAATTACACATAAAAGAGACAGGCGAGATAAAAATGAGTAGAAACTAATCGATATAATAAGCTTGCAATAATCCTTGTGGCACTATTCAAATTAGATTATAGCAACTTTGAAATTACGAAGAATGGTTAAGATGAAGTTCTAAATTAAATTTTCTCCTTCATACTTTAGTAATAAAGGGTTTAGTCAAATTTTTCGACAACAGGAAATGCTTCTTCGTACATTCCTTTTTTTTATTTCCTGCAAGGACACGTTTATAAAAAGATGATTTACTAACTAGAAGCGTTCGTCACATAGAAAATTTATGATACATGCCCCAAAACTACTTTTAATTATATTGTGACATAGATATAAAAACTTGTGTTGAGTGATGAATTTTTTCTTACTGATGTACTTTTCTTTTTTGTGTAAAGTGGCCGCCTACTATTTTTTTGTGAACAGTAGTCACCCACAAACGAAAAGCGTCACGTGTTTTGAAGTTAGCTATCCATTAGTTTGTTTTTTGTGCGTTATCTTTTGTATTGTCAAAGGTACAAAGGGCATATTCAGGTTGATCGACGAAAAGTCTATCTTTCGTAGCAATCGTCCCTTTGTACTGCTTTCTGTCGTTTCTTTCTACAAACAATTTTATTTGTTTGTATTAGTGGGGAAAGCAGAACGCTTAAAACAGTATTATGAATTTGATAGATTGAACACAATACAATATCAAGAAATTGCTACAGTGTTTCCCTAGACTTATGGAATTTAGAGTCATCATGAATAGTTTTATAGGCTGAAATTTAATTCACATTTAGAGTAGATATTTCGTTTGTTTTTACAAAACATTTCCCTTTTTCCAGATTATCTCCTCAAGTAACCATGGCAGTATATCGACATTCATTACTACAACACCATCCTCTATGAATTTGGACGATATGGAGACAATGCCTTGGTGGGTGGAAACATTATGGACATTGGTCTTTTCCCTAATGATATCAATTGCTATCGGTGGTAACTGTTTGGTTATATGGATTGTAACTGGTACGATTATTGTATGTTTTTACGTGTATGCTTTCAGTCTCCAAGTATTGTTTGCAGATTTGCATTTTCGTAAAAAAAAATTATTTTGGTGTCATCTTAGCTCCTGTTTGTACTCGTAAAATATGCATCTGGCTAGCTACCACCCCACTTTGCCTATTTATTATTGACTTGTACGTCGCCCTGTGATTTCTTAATACTTTTTCTGATATCTCCTCATTACTATTTTCCGCCCATCGTCCACATTTTACATGCAGAAGTTTCAAACACACTTTTTTAGCACAAACGTGATTTCTATATGTTAAAAGCGACGCGACCTTACGCTTATCTTTATTTTATTTCTCTAATGCTTTTTCGATCTTGAATTATCTGACGCTCTAAATATTGAAAATCGGCAACCATGTAATTTTTCCTCTCCTTTTTCCATATTAGCTCTAACCCTACTTTCACAAATGCCCATACTTTTGTATTATTTTTACCTTATCACTTCCATTATATTTAAACCTATTTCTAACTTCTTGCTGAAAGCTAATACAGCTATATTATTGGCAAAGAGCGTGCATGTCTATCCCTAAAGTTGTCATGTCTTTAATAATAATTAATATCTATCCCATTTCCGATATAAAAATTAAAATTCCAAATATTTACTTCTCTAGGACTTGCTCATTTACACAAACTATAATTAAAAAATGGATAATTATTCTATTTACTCCTTCCTTTACTTATTGTCCTCCCATACGTTGCTTCGTATTAAAAGAAATCAGTTTTCTTTAGCAAATGAAAGCTCGGAATGTTTTCATCGTATTTACAAGTTTATTCAATTATTTTGTAGTTACGTTAAGTAATTAATGATAATACGGCACTGTCTTAAAAAATACTGGAATAAGTTTGCAAATTAGAAGCTTCTCTGTATCATCTTCATCGTTTCTGATCTGAACTGATCTTCGCAATTCCCTAAAACTAGTACCTCCTGTATCTTTAATTATATCATCATCATAAGGTCATCAGTCCTAAGGCTGGTTGGACACGTACCTCCACTCTTTCCTATCCTGAGCTAAACTTCGCATTTCCCTAAAACAGCCCACATCCTTAACTATTTGCAAAGAGTAATCTAATCTAGGTCTACCTCTACCTCTCCTAACTCCTGTTTCTGCCTCTAATATGTCTCTGACTAGACCTTCATGCCTGAGAAGGTGTCCTACCAACCTATCTCGCCTATTTTTTATTGACTTCCATAGAGTCCTCTGTTCTCCTATTCTTTCCAATACCTCTTCATTTCTAACCTTTTCTACCCACGATATCCTCATCATCCGCCTATAACACCACATTTCGAACGCTTCTAACCTTTTCTTTTCCGCCGCTCCCACTGTCCATGTTTCGCACCCGTACAACGCCGTGCTCCAAACATACACCTTTAACAACCTTTTTCGAATTTCTAAATTAACCGTTCGCGAGCATAGAAGTGACTTCTTTTTATTAAAGGCGACACGACCCTGCGTTATCCTCTGCTTTATATCCCTACTACTCCTTCCATCCTCACTTATCTGACTTCCTAGGTATCTAAAATCAGCCACTTCTTAAATTAATTATATGTGAACCGTAATCTCATGTAGGTCTGCCTTCACCCCTCTTAACTCCTGCTTCTGCTTCCAATATGTCGTGAAGGGTTACGCCTAAGAATGTGTCCTAGCCTATTCCTTATTGACTTCCGTACCACCCTCTGATCTCCTACTCTTTGTTATAATGTTATACTCTCTTCCTTCCAAAGCAAAATTATTACTAATCCGATTAAAGAAAAAAGTAAGTTGGTAGCAACCCTAGAAGATTATTTAACGGATATATGAACTGGATGAAATCTTAAATAACACAGGAATTATAAAAAATGCGTTTTTGTTGTTACAGCGCACAGAAGAATGAGATCTGTTACAAACTACTTTCTGGTGAACTTGAGCGTTGCCGATCTAATGTTGTCCACCCTTAACTGTTCGTTCAACTTTATATACATGCTAAGAGGGTATGTAAGCTTATGTAGGTTAATTTTTTGTATAAGTAATCAACTACGTATCTACTTAGGTACGACAAATTAATTAATATTCAACTCTTTTTTAATGAGAAAAAATTGCTGCTGCTGTTACACCTCGCCGGGAATCGAACCCGAGACCTTTAGCAGCGACTATTTTTCCTCTTTATTTTAAGGTAATTTGTAGACGGTTGAATATTAAGTCACATTAATGTGCAATTAAATTTCTTTAACCTAGGGCAAGTTTATTTTAATAAAAACTTTTTAACAAAAAAATTAAACTGCCGAAAAAACTGAAAAGCAAATATAATAAACCTTTATTTTATTAAATTTAATAACTGAGTTCTAAGAATTACTACTACTACTATTATTTTCCTACTATAAATCATCCCCTGTTTTCCTACCTTTAAATTTACATTTCTTCCAAGTTTATATGGGACCTATCCTTTCCAATAAAGAAAGAATTATCAAAATCGGACTATTCTGTCAAAAGTTGTGCAAGGTCATACATTACAATCAGTCAGTGAACGACAGTCAACAATCATCTCCTGTTTGCAACCCTTAGGGTTGGATTTTTTTTCCAAATTTATTTGGGACGAACTTCGGGGTTTACCCTTTCCAATAAAAGAAAAATTGTCAAAATCCGACTATTGTGTCAAAAGTTATACGTGGTCATACATTACAATCGCTGAATGAACAACAATCAACAATCATCCCTTGTTTTCCTACCCTTAGGGTTGGAATTTCTTTTTCAAATTTATATGGGACTAACTTGGAATATACCCTTTCCAANTGATTTCTATATGTTAAAAGCGACGCGACCTTACGCTTATCTTTATTTTATTTCTCTAATGCTTTTTCGATCTTGAATTATCTGACGCTCTAAATATTGAAAATCGGCAACCATGTAATTTTTCCTCTCCTTTTTCCATATTAGCTCTAACCCTACTTTCACAAATGCCCATACTTTTGTATTATTTTTACCTTATCACTTCCATTATATTTAAACCTATTTCTAACTTCTTGCTGAAAGCTAATACAGCTATATTATTGGCAAAGAGCGTGCATGTCTATCCCTAAAGTTGTCATGTCTTTAATAATAATTAATATCTATCCCATTTCCGATATAAAAATTAAAATTCCAAATATTTACTTCTCTAGGACTTGCTCATTTACACAAACTATAATTAAAAAATGGATAATTATTCTATTTACTCCTTCCTTTACTTATTGTCCTCCCATACGTTGCTTCGTATTAAAAGAAATCAGTTTTCTTTAGCAAATGAAAGCTCGGAATGTTTTCATCGTATTTACAAGTTTATTCAATTATTTTGTAGTTACGTTAAGTAATTAATGATAATACGGCACTGTCTTAAAAAATACTGGAATAAGTTTGCAAATTAGAAGCTTCTCTGTATCATCTTCATCGTTTCTGATCTGAACTGATCTTCGCAATTCCCTAAAACTAGTACCTCCTGTATCTTTAATTATATCATCATCATAAGGTCATCAGTCCTAAGGCTGGTTGGACACGTACCTCCACTCTTTCCTATCCTGAGCTAAACTTCGCATTTCCCTAAAACAGCCCACATCCTTAACTATTTGCAAAGAGTAATCTAATCTAGGTCTACCTCTACCTCTCCTAACTCCTGTTTCTGCCTCTAATATGTCTCTGACTAGACCTTCATGCATGAGAAGGTGTTGTACCAACCTATCTCGCCTACTTTTTATTGACTTCCATGATAGTGACCTCTGTTCTCTATTTGTTTCTAATACCTCTTCATTTCTAACCTTATCGTTCCACGATATCCTCCTCATTCGCCTGTAACACCACATTTCGAACGCTTCTAACCTTTTCTTTCTGCCACGCCCACCGTCCATGTTTCGCACCCGTACAGCGCCACACTCCGAACATACACTTTTTTCGAATTTGTTTGTTAGTCGTTCGCGAGCATAGAAGTGACTTCTTTTTATTGAATTCGACTCGACCCTGTGTTATCCTCTGCTTTATATCCCTACTACTCCTTCCGTCATGACTATCTGACTTTCTAGGTACCTGAACTTCTTCTAATCTTTTGTCTCCTATCTTTATATTCGCCCTTTCCCTACTTTTTCTTCCCTTGTACTACTCATACTAGTATTTTTGTTTCACTTTTATTTGATTCGAAATTGTACAAAATTAAAATTCTAGTGTATACGAATCCCACATTTCCTGACTGTTACTTTAACTTAGGGATATTAGAAATAATGTTTCGTTTAGGGAATTTTTTAGCTAAGACCTTTCATATCAAAATTATACAGACAAGCCGCTGCTTACGTTCTGTCCATGAAATCCAGCATTTTTTGATGGTATCAAAAGAAGTAAAATTTCATTAGGTGGACTAACTGAATGGAGTAGGCGCTCGTAAAGTTACATTTAATGAAGAAAGCAGTCATGACCATCATAAATTATTTCACACAAACACAAAACTTGATGTTATACGACAATAATTTTGCCATACAAGACATGTCTCTGTTATCAGGACTAGTAAATTATAATCGCCCGGAGATATGGCAAACCAATCAGGGTAATCAATAGCAATGTAGAACAATTTGTCATGGATGCTTTCAACGGCTGCGGTGACCGTGTAATGACGAAGTATATATACAGAAGCTTAGCGTAGCTTAGAAATTAGAATTTGAACGAATGAAAGATATTGTGGTTCCTTTCCTTTCAGTAAAAATTTGAATGTGAAATGTATTTGCGAAACAATGTCCAGAACGAAGATTTTTGAAAGTATTTGAACGTTTCCGTTTTTATTGGTTATGGTTTAGTTTGGTCGATGATAGGTACTACCAAAAGATTTAATATCGCACAATTTGATCTTTAAATATCTGTATTAATTCACACCGTTCAATCAAAATAATTGCTGTAATTTTTAGCAAAAGCGGTACGCGTTCTTCGTTTATCGGACTACTGTGTAAAAAGTTATGCGTGGTTATAGATATAAAAAAAAATATACGCGTCGACTTGAGAACCTCCCTTCTTTTTCGTCGGTTAGAAAAATGTTTTAAAGGTGGTAATAATGAAAGTAAAATACGTATTTAAACAAAATCTCTGGATACGCATTGTAACTTGAGACAGTAAAGGTTATTCAGTTCAAAATTGTGTTTTTTTCTTTTTGTCTACAAGAAAGTTCTCTAAAAAGTTTGTAATTTTCGAAATTCAGTAGCAAATAAGTTCTCAAATCCTTCAGCTAAGAAGAAAGTGAAATTTCATATTACTTATTTTATTGGTTGAAAGTAAATTTCATTTCTCCCAAATTAAAATACTTCGTGGAATTCTCTCTTAATTACACAGATATTAAATTTCAATAATAAACCAGGTTTCTCCGCTATTAGTCCACCTACACTACTCTAATACAAAGAATTTCTGAATTACCCTTTACTAAGTGAACCTGGAAAAGAAAATATAAAAAGGAAGGGATAACAAATAATTCCTCCAATTGTAAATGATTAAATAAATAGGTACTCTAAATTACGTATTACTAATCTGAGCTTTCGCCATTTCCGTATCATTAGTTTTTTTTCGACAAAGTCAGGATCTCCACATCGAACCCGGGTCTCTGGTTTCTGGTACTAGTACGGGTTCGATTTCCGGCGAGAGAGTGATAAGAGCAACTATTTTTCCTCATTAATTTGAGATTTTCAGTAGTGGGTAAAGTTAATTCAAAACTAACTCATTAATACATTAAAATCCTTACAGAAACTCAAAGTGTCACATTTAATAAACAATATTTTTGTTAGAGTAAATTGTTAAAATTTCTTTTTGTTTGACAGCATTTTGTTGATAACGTTACTGTTGTAAGTAAACCCTTACTAGTGGCTATGGTTTTTATGATATTTAATGTTTTATCATAATTGTCGTTATGCTAACTATGTAGTCCTCTTCTTCTACTTTTCTTAATATTATTTGACATCATTAGAGTCAGTAAGAGAGAGCAATCTTGACGAGAACAAACAAGACAAATGTGAACAAATGTAATATTAAAAAAAAATATTTCACTGTTAATCAGCTACTTTTTTTTTATAAGATTCGAAATTGTCAACATCATCATAAGGTCGTCAGTCCTAAGACTTATTGGACATGCACCTCCACTCCTTCACTCTACTGAGCTAATCCTCGTATTTTCCTAAAACTAGAACATTCTACATCGTTAACTATTTGCGAACAGTAATCTAATCTAGGTCTACCTCTACTCCTTTTAACTCCTGTTTCTGCCTCTAATATGTCTCTGACTAGACCTTCATGCATGAGAAGGTGTTGTACCAACCTATCTCGCCTACTTTTTATTGACTTCCATGATAGTGACCTCTGTTCTCTATTTGTTTCTAATACCTCTTCATTTCTAACCTTATCGTTCCACGATATCCTCCTCATTCGCCTGTAACACCACATTTCGAACGCTTCTAACCTTTTCTTTCTGCCACGCCCACCGTCCATGTTCCGCACCCGTACAGCGCCACACTCCGAACATACACTTTTTTCGAATTTGTTTGTTAGTCGTTCGCGAGCATAGAAGTGACTTCTTTTTATTGAATTCGACTCGACCCTGTGTTATCCTCTGCTTTATATCCCTACTACTCCTTCCGTCATGACTATCTGACTTTCTAGGTACCTGAACTTCTTCTAATCTTTTGTCTCCTATCTTTATATTCGCCCTTTCCCTACTTTTTCTTCCCTTGTACTACTCATACTAGTATTTTTGTTTCACTTTTATTTGATTCGAAATTGTACAAAATTAAAATTCTAGTGTATACGAATCCCACATTTCCTGACTGTTACTTTAACTTAGGGATATTAGAAATAATGTTTCGTTTAGGGAATTTTTTAGCTAAGACCTTTCATATCAAAATTATACAGACAAGCCGCTGCTTACGTTCTGTCCATGAAATCCAGCATTTTTTGATGGTATCAAAAGAAGTAAAATTTCATTAGGTGGACTAACTGAATGGAGTAGGCGCTCGTAAAGTTACATTTAATGAAGAAAGCAGTCATGACCATCATAAATTATTTCACACAAACACAAAACTTGATGTTATACGACAATAATTTTGCCATACAAGACATGTCTCTGTTATCAGGACTAGTAAATTATAATCGCCCGGAGATATGGCAAACCAATCAGGGTAATCAATAGCAATGTAGAACAATTTGTCATGGATGCTTTCAACGGCTGCGGTGACCGTGTAATGACGAAGTATATATACAGAAGCTTAGCGTAGCTTAGAAATTAGAATTTGAACGAATGAAAGATATTGTGGTTCCTTTCCTTTCAGTAAAAATTTGAATGTGAAATGTATTTGCGAAACAATGTCCAGAACGAAGATTTTTGAAAGTATTTGAACGTTTCCGTTTTTATTGGTTATGGTTTAGTTTGGTCGATGATAGGTACTACCAAAAGATTTAATATCGCACAATTTGATCTTTAAATATCTGTATTAATTCACACCGTTCAATCAAAATAATTGCTGTAATTTTTAGCAAAAGCGGTACGCGTTCTTCGTTTTTTTTTATAGAGTTTATTTGAGGTGACGGAACAGGAACATGGAAACTTTATATAGAATCCCGGATGACAGAAATAACGCTTCCCGAACCGTCATGTACTTGAAAACAGTGAAATATTGACTTTTCTGTTGGTCGGTGTTGTCACCATCAGTCACTACAACAAAAACTTTTACCGTAGAATTTGTGATTAATTAAGACAGTGCAGTATCACTTCCGTAAACAGAGCTAAACTTTTTATTTCGAAACTGTTTGTGTTCTTGATCCTTCTGTCTGGAAAAATAATTTACAGACTTCCTTCTAACTGGATCTCATTTTATCGATCTTTGAAGTTTATGTTTCCGTTTTAATTACTTTGATACAAAACGAAAATAAACATTAACTTAGGATTACAATAGGATCGTCATTGCCCTGTATCATTGCAAATAATAATCTATTCTAGGCTCATATCAAGCTGACTTTACTCCTGCTTATTTTTTGACGTGACAACGTCTTATAATTCGATAGAGCCGGCTGCACGCACGAAAAAACATGACTCATGCGGCGTTACCTCGCTCTGAGGCGTTCCATTTAAGGCTTGAAGTGCAAGCGAGAACGCAGAACAAGCGACAAAGAAGCACAATCGGCCTCCGCGTTCGGCAGCGTTCGACATCTGTCTCTCTCCTACTTGAGTGAGCGATGCGTCCGCGTGGACAGCTTCTATACAGTAATACATGTCCATTTACCTCCTTCTCTATATCCATACAAAATATCTATCAAACAAATAAAATTAAAATTTTCTTTTGAAAAATGAAACCATTTAATCAGTATTTTCTTATGACATTGTCACGTTCAACTATCGTCAGTAAACCGAATTTACAGACAACCGATTTTTTTTTAATATGTTTTCAACTAATCCATCATGTTTGAGATTATGATAATGAGATATCACACCTACCCTTTATTGACTTCTCTATCGCCCATTATTCTCCTCCTCATTTTTAACTTTTTCGATCTACGGTAATCATCCCCCCATAACACCACATCTTAATTCATCTTTAAAATTCTGAGAATTAGCGACTTAGCAATCAAAATTTAAAAATATTAGATAAACAAATAAAATATATATAAAGCAATAGACAAGTTAATAAAATTATTGATTTGTATGTATACATTGTCTAATAATAAGGTGTTTTTTGTTACAGCCATTGGGCATTCGGCCCATGGTACTGCACCATAAATAACTTTATGGCAAATGTAACGGTGTCAGCGAGTGTATTCACGCTTACTGGGATATCTTGCGATAGGTAAGTTCCTGTTTAAATTTCGGCAACAAACGTTTCTGATAAGAATTACTAAACAATCCAATGAAAATTAGGCGTTTGGACAGGTAAAATTTAATGTAAGGAATTACGTCTATGGTTTTATGGGAAGGAAAACTGCATATGAGAACATTTCGTAGATTTGTGTTGTATTTCAAAAAGAATTAATTGAATTTAAAAGATGTGCCATCGACACCTATTTCATTGCGATTGCTTTTTAAAACGGTTTTAATCTTTCAGTAACTACAATCATCGAATTAAAATTTAAACCAGTTTAGTGTAATAAAATAAGTACGAATGTTTTCAATAATTTATTGATATTAATTGAAGGATATTCGTAAAATACATTTGTCGAATGTCCTTTAATGGTTGAGAATACTTTTCATCTATTCTATTACTCTCTCAAGGGAGCCTATTTATAGTTTGAAAGATATCTATACAATCAACTTCGTACAATGCACTAAGATAAAATCGAGAGAGGTGAATAACACCCAAGGGTATACTCCTGACAAATAAAAATGTGTAACATTCATGCAAGATTTGAAAGCATTTTCATTGAAAATATACTAACTCAAATTCTTGAAAAAGAGACATGTTAGTAATATCTAAATATACCCTAAACTGCAACAGTAAAGAAAGAGAAATTTTTCATTATTGTTATTTTCAGTAACGTAATAACTAGTTCTCGATAATATATGCAGATTTAACGTTTGTAGAACGGGTCGTAAGGTAGTCCAAAACAGACAAACAATGAGTGAAAAAGAGCTCCAGTATTCTTTTAATCGTTAGTCCATCTACCTTAAACTGAAATAAAATGTAAAAGAAATCGCACACTATTGTTGTTCTCCTCTATAATTCAGCAGGTAGTTATCGAACATAACTAGTATTAAGCTATTTAATAGACGAAACGTTTTAGAAAGAGTCGTATGCGAGTCGAAAATGAGCAAACAATGAGCTCCAGTATTTATATTAGAAAACGGTTGAGTATTTGTTAATTTCTCCTTTTTCCAACGTCTCTTTTAATAAAGGACATTTTAATTTTGTATCATATCTAACAAAACGAATTTTCTTAAAATATATTGTTAATAGTTAAGATGAGATAAAACAAGACTTATCATAAAAAACGCATCATAAATGTTATTTAAGGATCAGGATATTTGTATGGGACCATGTTAATGTTAAATAAAAGCTGGATAAAGTCGCCATTTTAACCGTGTGCCCAGAATTTTAAAAGAGAAAGTTTTAGAAGTGACTAACTGAATTAGCTCGCTTCCTATAGGGAAAACTGACGCTTAACTTAATTCCAGTTTAAAGAGTTCTCGTAAAATAAATACTGTACACAATATTTCGTAAGTATTGTGAGAGAGCATTAAGTAAGTAAACAACGAAAACGTTTTCTTCAAGTAGAAGCAGGATAATGTAATGAGCTTAAAGTATCGACAGGACGACAACGGCGTGCTTCTATTTTTGGGCGAATGTAATAACGAATTTTTAAAACTACTTATAACTTTTATTGACGATGGATGTAACAAAATCTGAAAATGTAAGTGAACCAAAAATAATACCGTATTTTTCTCTTAATTCTCATATTATATAGTCATCAGAAAATGAACAATTTAGCTTGTTACCAGAATACTAATGTCTGATCAGTGCTTATATACATAAACATGAGGGTAATGGCCTTGCCGAAAGCCCCTACTGCTTTAACAATGATATCCAGGATTACTTAGTGTAATTGTGCAACGCGCAATCGCTACAATCGTCATTAAGTGCAATTGACCTGTTTGTGCGCCAGCTGCTGCGAAGGTCACAAGTATTCACCTGTTTTTGTCATTTGATGGTTGCGAAAACGAAGGACGATAAGACAGCATGGCCGTCAACCTGGCGAAAGTTCTCAATGAAATGATTTACTGGAGTACCTTTGTACATATTTTTCCATTAATTATTTATAGCTCGATTATAACATTTGTTTTAAATTGTTTTCTATCAAAATTTTCAATCAATACTTCTTGATAAGTAGATAAGATTTTCGGTATTAAAGCGATAGTATACGACTAACCATTCTCAACGACTATCAACGAATGAAAACCGTACAGAAATTCAATACCTAAATGAAATTACTTTTGAAAAAATTTAATCAGCAGAAGAATAGACGAATACAAATTTTCTAATTTTGATATTAAAAGATCTACCTATCTGCGCAATGTAAGATTTATTACAGAACGTCGATTTAATTTAATGTATAAATGACAACAAAGACTAGATGATTGAAAAAATTTAGAAAATTATTAAATTGTCTGGGTGTACGTACTTTTAGTTCTCTTTTATTTTATTTTTTGTTTCTACATAGCAGAGCGAACGATTTTGTTACAGAAAAAATGTCGAGACCACTCTATAGTTCACTCAAGCTCGAGTTACTCTGCACCTTTAAAGTACAATTCTAAAGCATTCCTCGCAGGGTCCAAACCACAAAGCAAATTCAATTTTCAACAATCACGTGTTCTTTATTTCTCCGTCTGAAATTGAAAAGGCTATTAATTTGTTTCCTTTTATCTACTCACGATTGGACCGTAGAAAACACAAAGAAACGAAATGTTTTTCTGTTGAATTGATAAAATCAATAAATTTCAAGATTTACATTTTTATCAATTTTCTTACACGTGTATGAAAATCAGGTAGGTTTTTAATTGTATTGGCGAGTGTAATTTCCACACTCGTTTTGGTAAAAGCATAAGTAGGTAACTTTGAAAAGGCTTTTATGGAGATGAAAATGTATAAAACGAAAAAGTAATTGTCGTCATCATTGTCATCACATAATAATGTTATTGTCGATATTGTGATTAAACTGATCNTTTTGGTAAAAGCATAAGTAGGTAACTTTGAAAAGACTTTTATGGAGATGAAAATGTATAAAACGAAAAAATTTCATGTCGATTTCACGAAAAACAGAGTATACTAAATTTAGATAAATACACTTGTATTTCGAATAAGTAATTGTCGTCATCATCGTCATCACATAATAATGTTATTGTCGATATTGTGATGTAAACTGATCGCATATTAAAGATATATTTTTTAATACTATCTAAGAAATAAGTTAGTGAAAATATACACCAAGTGGTGTTTCATTTTTATTCATCATCGTATTGCACTTACAGTTTGAAAGAGTAATCCATTACAGAATTCAGATTCGAAATATCGAAACAAGTGGTAGTTGTTCTAAAATTTTTTTGTGAAAGCTTTTAACTTGTACCCTTGGCGAACTTTTTCAGTGAAAAATGTCATCTATATAAAAAGTTTAATACATTTTGCCAGCTTGAAATTTAAATGTGGATCTAGAGCAGTAATACATTTTGTCTGATATATTACGTGACATAAAAATAAAATTAGAGAACTTTTCGTCATAAAGAACATGCATAAAAAAGTTATCGAACGATATAGATATAAAGTGTAAAATAATGTAGCATAAGTTTGTTTATTGGGAACAAAAGCCATTTATTATAAGCCTATTTTTTAAATATAAGTAAAAACTGCATAGGAAGGCGTAATGTACAGTATCACCAAGTGTGCTTCGATTAGTTTTGTTTTTGACAACTGACAATACTGAAACTGTTGCGCGATTATTCATCGCGCAGCGGACCTTTGCGTATTCTATGCTTTATTTAGCCATGATGCTTCTGCTAGATTTTCGCTCCTAACTAACTAGTCTTCTTGATATGAACAATTTGTTTTCTCTTTTATGTCAGAATGCACTGTCAACTTTACTACAACATGCTACATATTACAATAAATAGAATGCAAATGCGTCATTCGTCATTTCAACTGTCGTATTATTTACGATCTGTGCATGCACGCGAATATGTGCATCGTTTCACGGTGTTCTCGTTTCTTAGTATTAAGGTGCATTTGCAACCCCAATACATACTGTAAATAGGGCTTAATTCTAATTGCGCTTGCAGCATCCACGGTAAATAGCTAGGTACTTAATTGAGCTATTGGGAATGTTCCGATATGACCATAAACTGCGTCTAATTTTGTTGTTCAGGATTAAGAAAAACAAATTATATTCAACTGAGTAACAAGCAGGTGTGTTTCATTTACCCAATTAATACCATCGATGTTAATCGTAATTGCTCCGCTACTAAAAATATCCAATTACGAGACCATGGTAGAGAGTAAGTAACATATAAAATAATAAAAAATGTGTAGGTACAGTAGTAATAATATAAGAAACGCGGCACAGGACATTTTGATGGAAAATGAGGAAAAGGCAGATAGGTGGAAAGAATATTTAGAGAACCTTTACGCAGACCCTGAGTTAGGAGATATATTAGAGAAGGAAGATAGTGTGGAGATAGATGAGCTAGGTTATCCCATAATGAGAGAACAGTTCGATGTATCATTAAAAAACTTAAAGAATAATAAAGCACTAGGTATACATGGGATACAGGCGAAAATTGTAAAACATGCACGACAAGAGGTTAGAGATCGTATGTTTAAGCTACTTAGTCACATNTACCCTTGGCGAATTTTTTTGAGTGAAAAATGTCATCGATATAAAAAGTTTAATACATTTTGCCAGCTTGAAATTTAAATGTCGATGTGGAGCAGTAATACGTTTTGTCTGATATATTACATGACATAAAAATGAAATTAGAGAACTTTTCGTCATAAACAACATGCATAAAAAAGTTATCGAACGATATAGATATAAAGTGTAAAATAATGTAGCATAAGTTTGTTTATTGGGAACAAAAGCCATTTATTATAAGCCTATTTTTTAAATATAAGTAAAAACTGCATAGGAAGGCGTAATGTACAGTATCACCAAGTGTGCTTCGATTAGTTTTGTTTTTGACAACTGACAATACTGAAACTGTTGCGCGATTATTCATCGCGCAGCGGACCTTTGCGTATTCTATGCTTTATTTAGCCATGATGCTTCTGCTAGATTTTCGCTCCTAACTAACTAGTCTTCTTGATAT